AAAACATTTTATACAAAAAAATTAAACATATCTTTAAATTTTTGTATATTAAATTTACTATGACAGTGTCAATGCTTAAATTTCGTTAGTTTTTATACCCTACACCACTTGCGATAAGAGAGCATGTCAAGTTTCTGCGGAGGTATGCAACCCTCAAAATACTTGAGGTAGATACCATCGTTTATTATACCGATCTCAGTTTGTCTATCCGTCTGTTCGTCCGTCTGTCTGTCTTATTTCTTTCTGATCAACCTACAGCTTGCGATTTTTGAGATATTTTGATAAAATTTGAGACGCTGATATTTTGGTTCAATGACGAACGTTATTGAAAATGGTTCGCATTCGAACACTTTTTTGATCACTTCCCATGTAAAGATTTATTATGAAAAGTCGTTATATGAAGAGGTTGTAGGGTTGTGTAGAGCCGTGTTTCGGCTTGTTTAAAATGATGGTGATTATGTAAATCGTAAATTTTGTTTAAAAAGAAAATCTCGTAGATCGCGAAATATGTTTAAGGTTTTAATTATACGAAGGAAGCTTCTGCAACGAATTGCAGTAGAAAACGGTTCATTTCTTTTTCTAAATATTATCATAAGCTTCTGCGGTGGTCGAGCAAGAGCGCTAAGAGAAACGATCACGAATAATTAATTTTCTTTTTAATGCTTTAAGAAAAACAATTGTAGAATATTATTAACTGCTTTCCCAACATAGAAATTACTTCAAGTAATTGGTGGAGAAAGTGAATTTGCTAATTGTGTACGGCTTTGTGCAAGTCAATATATATCGTAAATTAGGAGTTATACATATATATACATATATGTGTGTGAGTGTGTGTGTGTGTACATATGTTAAAGTTCTCTCTATACCTTTTCAGGCAATTCTACATTTACTTGTTACTTGTGACGGCGTTATTTTACTAATTAAACCCATCCTGCCAAATAGTGTTTATACACAATCGTGATAAGTACTTGTATGGAATAAATAAATGTTGCATTTTCATCACCGTTGTGCAAAAATTTCTATGCACGTCCTAATTAATGCATTTTTCATAGACGAAGTGAGAATGGTTACGTGAGCTTATCAATTAGCAGATCAATCGAATGAATACGCATAACTAGCTCGATTTATAATCTCACGCGAATATTGTTGCAGTTAGCTATACCTAGTCGACTTACGTCTATCGGTGATAAGGCTAAACAAAAATAAAAAACATCCTTGGAAGCAATTCCGAGTTCGTTTACTATCATATCCTCAGAGGAAAGAAAAAATGCCAGAATTATCGATATTGAGCTCAATAATAAAACATAGATATGTTCAATCAATAACATGAGTATATGAATTTTGAAACCCTTAACGGGTTAATCGCAAAATTTCTATTGAATCCTTTCATTTTTCTTTGTCTTAAAATAGTTTTTTTTTTCAAATCTATAAGCTCTTATTGGCCGTTAATAACGCACCTCGCCATTCAACTTACCTTTTAATTTCAGTTTTCTGCGATAATTATAGCTACCTGGCATCGTATGTAAACGAACTTTCCTATATTTCACTTATGTAAATATATGTTATTAAGACCTTGAACCATCCTTCGGATGACATACACAATCGTGCATATATTTATTCCGATATATTTATTATACTATGTTTTAGGAAGCATGTATGTGTGATGGTAATAAAAAAAGTGTTAAAATGATTTACTTGAATATTTAAAAGGGCTTGATAATGAGCCTTCTTCATTACGTTAAAATGGGTGAAATCGTGCGAAGAGAAATTCAAATTTATTTTCCTGCATGAAGATGAATCAGAAACACTTAAAAAGAGTATCGGATATACGCGCACAGTTGTGAACAGTAACAGCAGATCGATCATTTCTATATACCATAAATACACTTTTATGGCTTCACTTATCTAATTGAATTAAATTGAATAAATTCAATTGTTTATTCTAGATTAGCTTGAAGTAAGCCATGGTTCATATATATAGATATTCGTTTAGGATCGTTAGATTCTTAGTTTTTGCGTTGTATAATTCATGTCGACCTTATTAGGTTACAAACGTTCTTGTACGTGCAAATCTGAAACACGTCACCTTTCGTCAGATCTTACCTTTTACGAATATTAGATTCTTAATCGTCATCGTGAAATATATCTCTCCCACCCATCAGTTAAAGTCGAAATTGCGAATATTGCCAAAGCATTTCCAAATTAGTCTTCAATTTTCTCGATCATGTATTATTTTCTTTGATGTAAGGAAACTTGGTGGAATTTACTGCTCAAGCTTTTTTGATTCAACCTTTTAAGGGTTGAGCTTACGCTACTTATATAAAACAAAACAATAATAAGCGTCGAGTTATGAGATAAACAATTTTCATAAAAAATTTCGAAAAATTATTCTTATTTACCCTATATAGAGATGTTGTTCTTCTTACTAGCAAAGTAAGTTCCTATTCCTAGTGTACAAAAACAACAATTGATTAATTTATTTAAATTATATAATTACTCCGACGGTGGGTGACGTTTCCTTTATTATTAGAGTTTCGATTTTTTTTAGATTAACTTTGTTGCTTTCGTTGGATTTCGAATCATAAATATATATATATATATATATATATATCATCAATCACAATGTATGAATAGATGTCCGTTCTAATCTACATCTAAGTCATTTTCATGTTGCAACTCTTACATATACACAAAGTGATAGTTTCACTTTAGTGCAAGTTTTCGAATTTCCTCAAACAATACAAATACTTGTCGACAATTAGAGAAAGAAGTCTTATGGCTCAAGTTGATAACATAAGCTCACATGTTAGCAAAAAAAAAAAAAAAAAAAAAAAAAAATTTTGGCTCCAGAAGTTTATTGCATTTGCAGGCAAAGTGTATTATAAGTAATTAAACAATGTGGTTTAATATTTTTTCGAGAGTCCAAGTTGTATAGAAGCATTTTAAAGGTTTTTGATAATTGCGGCCGTGTCGCTAAGTCTTTTGCCGTGTCGACAGTAATATTTTAAAATTATCGTTCCAGAGTATATTATTTGTGAGGCACTGAATGTTACGTATAGAATAATAAAGCTGGTAAATCAATATTGATTTGCTCGTCGATATGATAAATGCACACATGTATATATGTATGTGTCCACGTTGTGGATAGAAGATTTGTTTTGAGGTCGTATATGAAAATTTTTATAGCGTTTCTCAGCTAATTCAGTTGAAGTTAAATATACGTGTACAATATTTAGTGATAAAATATTTTCGTTCTTATCCTATTTACGAGTGTTGTCGACCAGTGGATACACACATCAATTTGATGTAATGGCATCAAATAGAGTTTTAGCAAAAATTCCATTTGCATAAATTAAAATTTATGTTTTAACGACTTTCATTCACACATACACACACACACACATACACACACACGAACATATATATATATATAAAACTATATTTTTGATAATAATTGTTGTGTTATCAAAATTTCTCTTTTGCCTTTACTCTCTCCATGTCTATGTTTGCCTGTCTCTATTGGCATGGGTGCCGGCATGTTTTTATATTTATATGTTTAGGTTCTCTGCAATACTGGCGGTTTGCATCACATACCATTGCGTCATTTACCAGGCAACGTTGAGCATTTATCATTGACCAAAAATCATTTTCCCATCATCAAAACCGATGCTTTTGCCGGTTTACGTGCTTTAAAAAAGCTCTCGCTCGATGGTAATAATATAACAAAAATTAAACAATTTGCATTTCGTGGCCTGCCCAGGCTCAAAGAGCTATCGATACAATATACACCGTTAAAAGCAATAGCACGTTTCGCTTTTGCTGGCCTGCAGAATCTCTCGACAATACTGCTGACACACAATCAAATCGCCACAATTGAAGCTTACGCATTTGCTGGCACATCGAATGTCAAATTGATATTGCTTACCAATAATCCATTGTTACGCATTGAAAGTTTCGCCTTCTCGAGTCTCACACAAGTGGGTCATTTGCTGCTACCGGCCGGTATACGCATTATCGAACCAGATACATTTTATGGCATGTTCACAGTGGGCTTACTCAAATTAGCTTATATGGATCTCGAGCATATAAAAGCGTTCACATTTCGTGGCCTCTCGCATGTGCTACTGCTTACCATACAAGAATCCGACTTGGGAGTGATAAACAGCGAAGCATTCGCCGGTCTAACGCATGTGGAAACATTGCAATTATTCAACAATAAGATTGATATCATCGAAGCTTTGGATTTTAATGAGACAGCTGCTATTAAGTATTTGAAATTTCACGGTAATCATTTTTTGCAAACACCTCCGTCGGAGGCCATATCTCTCGATGGCGTCCATCATTTGGAATTAGTAGACAATTACTTTCCATGCGGCTGTCAACTGCAATATTTACTTGAGAGCCCATTCGCAACGAAATCGTTCAATTCGACACGCAATCTGCTGGAGAAAAACTATTGTATATCGCCAATTGAATTAAATGGCCATTTAATGGCCGATGTAGAATACAATGCACCATGTCAGGAGCATTTATTGCAAGGCACTCTAGAATCAACGGCAGCATTACGCTGTGACAGAACAATAAAAACAATACCAGTAGTCATAGTTTGCATATCAATAAAGTTTTTGCATTTAACTATTAAATTTTCATAGCATATATAGGAAAAGCACAAATCGCATACAAGTAATTATTATTTTATTTAAATCCGCTCTCATGTTAATCCTTATTATCATCCCACAGTTTTGCATATATATATATATATATATATATCTATATATCTATATATCTACATATATATTTATATATATATATATATACATGTACATTTACATATATATACCATTAAATTTGTGTCGTCTTTTGATGTGTTTAAATCATGATTTTTTTCATTCCGCAAGGCTTATAATAAATAAAAGAAAATCTAATTAAAATATATTCGACTGTTTCTCTTTTAATTAGCATAAAATAAATAAAAGACAGGTAAAGGTATCATCATCAAGCTATAAGTGTGCGTATTTAGATTTTCGGAGGACTTGTTGGACTTCAATGCAAGCGGGTGGCAGCAATCAAAAAAAAAAAAATAAAAAAAATAAAAAGGAAAAGAAAACTGAACGACTCCTTCTAAGCCTTTTTTTTTTTCATTTATTTCAAGATGAAATTTGTTGAAACGTTTGTAACGTTAATGCATCAATGTCCATCAACCCATTGCAATGTTAATATCGGCCCATTTTTGTATCCATCGCCGTAGGAAAAGGAAAATTTAAATGTCATGTATTCCTAATCAGCGTCAAATTCCGAATCGATTTAGCGATGTCTGTCCGTTTTATTTAAATGCGCATGCGTGCGGTTCACACAAACTTGCTTTTAAAAAATTAAGATACCGACTTCAAAATTAATAGACACATTCGAACCTCTTGAACGCAATTTGATATTGCAAATAGAAAAACATCCATCAACGAGCATATCCGCAGGTAAATCGTGAATTGAAAATAGGTCTGTTTCCCTAAGCAAAAATGTGTGGGCTTTTGCTCATTACTCATGAAAGATGCAATGTTGAAATTTCCAAAAATTTATTTTACAAATAACTTAGCCAAAAATGTAGTGTATGGTTAAGATGCCGGCCGTGACAAAGAATTTCAGGTGAAAAGTTATTGGTCGATAAATCGGACAATACCGAATATCTTATCATGTGTGCCAAGCTAACTATGTTAATTCAAAATTGAATATGGTGAACGTTACCACGTGGTCCATTAATTTTTATTTATGTGTTCAATCGATAGGGATCTCAAATATAATACACGAACTTCGAAAGTAGAGCGCGACAAGCTACGTACCTTAATTCTAAATTGCATATGACGGACATCACGATGTGGTGGATTTATTTTATGTTAACAATCCCGTCGATAAGTATGCTAAATAAATGGGGTCTGGAGCGTTCAAGGCGATTCATTAAAATTATATATATTTTTACTTTACTTTTAAACAAAACCTTCGGCTAATTCTCCTAAACCTCCCTAATAATAATCTGGTAATAATTGGTTGCAATGCTAATTTTATTGTAACGCAGCGTGATAAGGTGGGATCAAATTTGTATATTGGTATGATAAAATGAATGGTGGTAGGTATTCAAGATTCGAGTCCAAAATTTTGATAATCCATTTTTTTTGGTTTTTTGCATTGTTAGAAGTGGTTGAAGGACTCCTATATCTCTGGTAATTTGTAAACTTCTTCCGTTTCTCGTCCCTTACTATACACAGCAGTAGTGTATAGAGGGGAAAAAATTGGAAACCGGAATTTCAGCCCGTAGACCGAAGTATATTTTTCTCTTCGTTTCTTTGGTCTTTAAAAACCTTCCTGTCCAGACAGTAACGCATATATGGGATAGCGTCGCTTTAAATACTTCCCTGCTATAAAATCATTCATCCACGTCACATTACTCCTCACCACGAACTGCACATACAAACAAACAAACATGCACGTAACCCCCGTCCGCAAGTAATTCTCAACACTAACGTATGCGTAATGTTCTCTACTCCGCGTATTTACTGCAAACTGCGAGCAACATGCAACACCGTTCTGTTTCCCTTTCCCTCTGAAATAACAAAGCAACAAAACCTATAACTAACTACATGTGCAATAAAATAAATTAAAAACTAACTCAATTTTACTATAAAAAGTGATTGCTTGCAAGAAAGGATGAATAATTACATGCGTATCTTTGCAATTCTATGTCCTTATATGACGTTTAAGGAAAAGATCCTTCAAAGAATCCTTTTTTTTTGTTTGTTAATTCGGGTAGATGTATTAAAAAGGCGATTCATTCAAGGACATAATTTGTTTATGGTGCCCACAAGCACTGAACGCGAACGTAGACGAGCATAGACATACATAGACAAATTTGCAGGAAAAAAAAAAAAATAAAGTCGACTCTAGGTCATGGGATTACTTCACCACATTGCATTTCAAAAACACTCGAATGTTTTATAATCCTTTCCAATTTGTATTTTTATTATCCGTATAAATACTCGGCTAAAAGTGAAAAAACAATCCGTGTTATGGCACGATATCAGCGAAAAGCACTCAAAAAACTTTGTTTTGTTTATTACTTTATGACTGTATTTTCTCCTTTTTTTTTTCTCAATCCGTGTAACACATTGATGGTCAAAAAGGAATTGGCTTAATAAACACTGCTCTTACCTTCTATTTCGTCACTTATGCTGGATATGTGTAATTAGTATCCTAGTATCAGATATCAGAGGCGTTCTCAGTTAATATTGCCTCTGACCGATTTACACCATTTTCAATACCAATTTGTGCACAAGAAATTTGAACTTGTTTCCAGGCGCGTGATATCACAATTTTTGCGGACGGGAGAATGTTTAGTAGCGATACTACGCAACTGATGTACGCAAACGGATTACGAATACGATATTGACCAAGACTTGGCGGGAAAGCTTTGTCGTACATTACTACATGCAGAGAATTTTATTCGTCATGTCAAAGCAACCAAGGTAGAAGACATCATGGGGGGTCTTATTATTAAGCTAACCTGTCATCGCATATAGAAGAGAACTACTTTTAATCCCCTTCACCAGTTAATTGGGGAGTGCAGAGTCACTATAGCAATGATAGCGGAGCAAGTACACTTAAGACATGGCATTGGGTATGAATTCCACAAAAGAAGCAACGCATCAATTGCTTGGAAAAGCTATACAATGCATTGAGAAGTGACATTGTAAATGTTCGGGCCTACCAAAGATGATTTGTCATATTTCGTTTCGGATATTTCAGTCTCAAAGAAGATAATAAAATTTTGCGATTCATATTGAAGAGTGACCCACATCTAACGACTTGGCAAATGCAAAGAAACTTGCGTCAGCACTCGATTGCTAAGGAACACATCAAACATATTCAAGTTCAAATGTTTCATTTAAAAATGAGACAAAACTTTTCTCCGGCCTTTAGTGGTTGTCTCTGGAGATTTTCTGGATGTTGCAAATATTCTCGCCGGTGTTTTCACTTTTATACATATTTTTTTAATTATATCTCTGTTGTAGTTCATAAGTAACAAGTGAAAAACTCAATTTGCTTACTTGTGAAAAGAGAGCTATTCTCAGTCCGAGTTTTAGTAGTGTAGACGTCTTCTTTGACTGATTGGGCGTACTGTTAATACCAAGTTGTTTGAAAGATCTTTCGCCGCTTTTGACAATTTTGAGGCGGTCAGCAGAATGTTTACATAGGCTGACAAAGGAATAGGCGAGGAAGGTTACATTGCTTCAGAGTTTGTTACTGATCTAGACTTTGCATACCGTATGGAGCTTTTGAAGCTTCCTCCCAAGTGCAGTAAACGTTTTGACAAAATAAATATAACCTATACTTGGGTGGTGAGTGTGCGGAAACTTAAAAAAAAAAAACAACCTTTATATGTTGTTGTTGTTAGTAGCCTACGATATGCAGCTGATATTAATCTAAAGTTCTTGGCAAATGTTCTGTACAACTTCTTTAGGGAGATAGCAAAATTGCTTTTAATTGGCGTTTGGAACAAAGTAGCGCTTTCATTACATAACTTTACTATATTCGATATTCAACTTGTAACATTCATTTGGCATATGTGTGGCATTGCAGCTACTCTTGCATTCTGTGGGGATGTATTTAGGAAATATTTAAAGATTATATATATAGTGTCGCTTACGTGTGGACCTAAACGTTGCAAAGTCTGTTTCTTTCACACTCCTACAAAGAGAGACTTTTGGTGGCTCATCATCTTTATCTACGAGCTTTTAAATGCTAAATGCTTGCCATTGGGTAAAAACGTTTTAATCATTAAAAATTGAAAAAAAAATACTGATTGCAAAAAGCATTTAGTTGAAAGTATTGCTCATCGCTTGGTGGCGTTGTGTTAATCAAAAGAACGAGCGTCTGAGGAGTATGGTGGCGTAGAGGCGTTAGCACATTTCCATTCAGTACGACGACTAACGTTTAATCAATGAGTCTTAGGATATAAGCTAAGCGACCGAGCGAAAGATTTTTCTTTAATTATCGGTACAATTGCATCGGACGTTTTTCGTAGCGCTCCCACGACAATGGTGTTGCTGATTTGAACCTAGTAAGGACTACAAATATCCGCACTTACACCCGATATTAGTAGTTGTCCTAATTCGACCAATATTTCTGTGTGTTTTCCATATTACAATGTGTCCATGTTTCGGGACTTCTCTCGATCCAGTAGCACTTTCATTTGAATTAACCCAGAAAAAGGGATACTCCGCTCCTTTAAAACCTTTTGGCACAAAGTTCGACTTTTCGAGACGTTTAAAAAAGTATAACATGTTATGCGCTTTTCAACGGGACAACTTATAATAAGATTAAGAAAACAAATAGACACAAGTGCTCAGAGACAGATATTGACATAATTGCTTAGAAAATCGGCCCGGCGAACACTCTTCATTTGCTTGATATGACGTATAGTAAAAATTGTACTTAATACGGTTGCATTATATCTATATGTGTATGTGTAGCGAGCATTTAATACATTTTGTTCAGAAAGCGGCTGGTGAGTATATTTTGAGGTTAGGTTTGATAATGAAAAAGAACGCATCGACACTTCAGATGTATTGCGATAAGGGCTTTCATTTACGGTGCACGGATCACC